AACAAATATATTTCAATGTTTATAAGCAAACTTCTGCAATATATATAATGACTGCATGATGTTTCATTATACGTTTGAGCCATACTACTTTCTTTCCCGTGGTATGGCTTTCTTTCAATAAATGTTTTTCCTTTCTTTCAATAAATGTGTTAGAGAGGCTCAGGTACAGACCATGGAGGCCATCTTACTCTTCTGTTCCTGGCACATCAACCTTGGCCTATTCTAAGGTTCATTTAATTATTCCAACAGTCCCTTCCATTCTCCACCACCACCCCATAAGCAATTATGTTAATGGTTTATCTTTTTGTTTTTGTTCCTGAAAAATGTATGTATCATTGTTTTTATGCATGCTTTTTTTAAATTATGTGGATGACCATGTTAATATATTATTTTGTTGGCCAGGTGCGGTGGCTCATGCTGTAATCCCAACACTTTGGGAGGCTGAGGCAGGTATTACAAGGTCAAGAGATCAAGACCATCCTGGCCAACATGGTGAAACCCTGTCTCTACTAAAAATACAAAAATTAACTGGGCATGGTGGTGTACGCCTATAGTCCCAGCTACTCGGGAGGCTGAGGCAGGAGAATCACTTGAACCTGGGAGGCAGAGGTTGCAGTGAGCCAAGATGGTGCCACTGAACTCCAGCCTGATGACAGAGTGAGACTCTGTCTCAAAAAAAAAAAAAAAAAACTATATCATAATCTATATGTTTATGATTCAACTACATTGCTATGGCTACATCTAATACACTGCTTCTAACTACTGTCTAGTGCTCCCTGTCTTGAGCATCTTCCCCATTTTACTCACCTACTTCTTAGTGCAGAACACACAAATTGCTGTGAACTTTCCCCTCCACAAATAATGCTGCAATGAATATCTTTGTGGACATATGATGCTTTCTTGGGAAAAAACCCCAGAGCAGTTTGTGGGTAATACATTTAATTTGATTAATTGTTGCCAGATGGTCCTAGAATGGCTGTACCAGTCTACATCCCCATAATCAGGGCATGTAGTTCCTAAAACCCCACAGCCCCAGCTAGACTATCATCTGGCTTTTTCTTTGCCGGTCCAATAGATATAAACATTTATCTCATTTTAACTTATATTTCTCTGGCTGCTAATAGAATGAACATGTTTTTAATGTTAAGATATTCCAACTAAGAGCATGGAGTATCTCCTCATTTATTCAGATCATCTAATATCCGTAATCATTTATCTATTGTTGCACATTTAGGTTCCCTCCAAGGAAGAGAGAAAGAGAAAAAGGGAGACCCAATGTATTTAGAAAGCCCATTAATCACCTTGGAGGGTGGAGGAGGAGATGGAATGGATGTTCTGGTGGCCACTTGTCCTCTGCTTACCTTTGCAGGATCCAGCCAAGTGCTCAGAGAACATTAACAAAAGATGGGGAGGATTGGAGGATGGTGTTCAATGAACTTCACTGCTTAATCGTTCATGAGCAATAACAGCTTTTAAATAGAATATGTAGATTAATTCTTACCTTTATCAAGTTCCACAGTATTCAACAAATGATTTCAAATTGTCAATAGCTAGGATAAAGTAGAATGGGTGGGAGTGGGTGGGAGAGCAGGGTGGCGTTAGGAGCAGGGTCTTAGAGTATGGTGGTGACGGCAGAAGGGACTAACAAGCTGCCGGACCAGGACGTTTCACCCTTGGATTTGAGGGTTCCTTAGCGCTTTTTCCCCATTTTGTTAAGAAATTTCCTCTTATGGGATAAGGAGCAATTCTCCAGCTCATTTGACTCATGGGGCCTAACATATACTTGTGCTATTGGTTGATAACATTAAGATAAGGGAAGGATTTTACATGGCCAAGAGTCCAAGACCAATCCCAGTCTAACAGAATCCCACTATCTAGGGATGAAGCACAGGAATCTGTTTTGTAAAGAAGTCCCCCGATTATTCTGGTGTTAAACTAGAAAAGCCCACTGGGCTCATTCATTCCTCCGCAGCCTTCAAGCTAACTCCCACCATGTTACACCTTCATACTCAGCATGTCAGGCAATCAGCTCCAGCCCAACACTTGGGACCCCCCAGTCATGACTTGCTAAGAAACAATCACATCCCCTCTTGGTATAATTCAAGCTTCTATTCAGCATTCAGGGCCAATGTCAGCTACCCGTCTTGCACACTATACTAATATAGGAAAACATACAAGAGCCATTTGTTTCATACTTTTATAAACATCAAAATTGCAAACAACCCTGATTGGAGAGTTGGACAAATAAGAATGGTATGACAGTTTTCTGTCTTGGAATTTTACAGATAATGCCTGTGTTCAAGGGCTGTGCTGTACTAAGCAGTGGCTGCTGGTACAGGGAAAGGTGTAATTCTCTCCTGGATTGTAGGAGTTGCAGCTCACACAGAGAGTCCTTTATGATGTAGGCCAGTCAGCTTTTATGGACTTCGATGCTATTTGCTTCAGTACCCTTTGAAATGCAGGGTCAGCTCACTGAGCTACATCATGCAATAATAACACATTTTTATAGGAGTAGCTTGTCAGAGCAGCAACAACATGCAATACATAAAACCAATAAACACACCGTGTTACAGATTCTATCCTAGTAAACAGGATAAAGCAATAAAATTGACAGCAGCCATCAAAAAGCTCCCTTTCTGACTTTGTGGGGTGAATTTACTGTTGCTTAAAACAGAGCAGCTGTCACAAAGCCTTAGATCAGTTATGGCGCAGCAAGCTGCATCGCGTGGAAGGGAGCGGGCCTGAGAAGGGAAAGCAGGATGGGCAATTATGCTTTGCTAAGGCTTGGGCCCCTTTCACTGTTAGTGTGATGCAATTCACATCAGAGATTTTCTACAGAATGGTTTCGTTTTTCCAAGTTACATATTAAATATTATGGAGGACAGTATGTCTATGGGTTGGTAAATCAGCAATTAGTATTTCCCATCTGCAGCTTAAATCCCTAAGGCAAGAAAGGGCTTACCTGTGACAGAATATGCAGGAACTCAATGGGTTGGTGCTATCTAAGACTGGATTCTTAGGGTGTGGACCTTCCACATTTTACATGGAATCATTTGACTGGGAACCCAGAGCCAACCTTAGTCCAACAGCATCTCAGAATCTGGTGGTGAGGCCTGGGAATCCATTTTGTAAAAACTTCCCTTTGAGATGCCAGTGAAAAACATGTGGGAGGCCCAGGAAACTGTGGCGAGGTCAGGAGCTAAAAGTCAGCGGCATGGGCATGGTGACAGAACTAGGAGCTAATAAAGGCTCAGGGATCAGCACATATTAAAAACATATTGAGTCTTGGCTGGGCACGATGGCTCACACCTGTAATCCCAGCGCTTTGGGAGGCCAAGGCGGGCAGATCACTTGAGGTCAGGAGTTTAAGACTAGCCTGACCAACATGGTGAAAGCCTATCTCTACTAAAAATATAAAAATTAGCCAGGTGTGGTGGTGGGCGCCTGTAATCCCAGCTACTCGGGAGGCTAAGGCAGGAGAATCGCTGGAACCTGGGAGGCGGAGGTTAGAGTGAGCCAAGATCGCACCATAGCACTCCAGCCTGGGTGACAGAGCAAGACTCGGTTTAAAAAAAAAAAAAAAAAAAAAATTATAAAAGTAAACACTTGCTGATGAAAGAGTAACGAAAATATTACAAGAAAAACAACAGCTAATA